CTTCCACCAGAATAATGCACTCCACAGTCCACATCTCAATCCAACTGAGCAGCTCTGGGATACATTGGATCGGGAGATTTGCATCATGGATGTGCAGCTGACAAATCTGCAGCAGCTGTGACGCTCACGTCAATATTGACCAAAAATCTCTGAGGAACATTTCCAGCACTTTGCTGAATCCATGCCACAAAGAATTAATGCAGTTCTGAAATCAAAAGGGGAGTTCAACTCTGAAGCAGGCGGCGAATTTAAGCTCAATCAAAGTGTCTAGCACCAAAAACCTCTGCTAGCAGCCCACTGCTTAGAAAAGCATGAACATTTCCTTCTTTTAAATTCTGAGCCAAACATGATTAATTTCTAAAAGTGTTAGGCAAACTTGACATCATCTCTAGTTTTATTACTCACCCGCATGTTTTTACGGATGCAGAGAAGACTATTTATTTGTCTAGTGTTTATTTGTATAAGACTCTACGCTTCAGTGGCAAGCGAGTAGACTTGAGAGTTGGAAGACTGGAAGAGAGGCATGTTGAGAGATGAACAGATAGAGTGGGACTGGATGCAGGAGGAAGAAATGTTATCCATGCCATTGTTATTCAAACAAATGAGAATCCATAGAGAGAGAAAGTTACATGTTAGCAGCTTCACTTTGCAAAATCAAATAAATCCACACGATTTATGGCTCTGTGTTCCCAGTATGTTCACTTGTGTTCGCTAACATTCACAGACGAGATCGAAAGCCGTTGCCTCGTTCGGCGCCGAGTTTGTGCGAACATAAAAATAAACATATGAGATTGGAAGGATTTGTTCTGCAATAGAAGACAGATTTAATTCAATGAGGACTTGATGAATAGAGGAAGACTGAGTAAAACCCTGAAAATAAGAGTACATTTAAAAAGAGTAACTGGCTGAGAGTGAGAACATTGTCTATTCTTTGACCTCTGATATCAGGGCAGTAAAAACTCCAATAAACTGTGAATGTTTTAATGTGGACAGCTGCACGTCTCCAGTCTTTTTTCTTTTTATTCAGCTCAGTGCTGTCACCAATGCAGCTAAACTCGCTCATACAGTA